CTCGACATCTGAATAGAGTGTTAATTTGTTGCCTAGCACAAGTTCTGTCGTATTTTATATACTGTACGTTTTTTAGTACAGTTTGTTCTATTTCCCGTCTACTTATGTCGGTCGTGACCATACGCTGTAGTTCAAAGCAGCTTCCTCTACTGAATGCTCTATTGTTTTCAACGAAGCACAACAAAGAAACCAGGCAACGTTGCACACCGCCCTTGGAATCGAATTAATCGACCGTTTCCGTAGTTGTCACTATCTTATATTATTATTAAAGTTGATTGCCCGATTAAAAATTCTGGGAAAAGCTAGAAAGCCCACAAAAATCAGACTTTTAAAGAAAGATCCTAGATTAATAGATTATTTAAATTCCCCTACGGAAAGATTATCTCTATAGAGTAATCAGGGCTGTATTGAAATATTTGGAAGATAGATCTTGAATTTTTAATTAAGAAGTAGCCCTAACTGTTAATTAATTAAAAAGACTATAAATATGTGTGCGCGTGCGTGCGTGCGTGCGTGCGTGCGTGCGTGCGTGCGTGCGTGCGTGTGTGCGTGTATGTGTGTGTGTGTGTGTGTGCGTGCGTGCGTGTGTGTGTTTTAATCATAAAAACGAAAACTACTCAACCGATTTAGATGAAACTTTCACACTTTGTTTTTATTAGTGCCGCGCCGGTTTAGAGACTACAAAAAGGGCTAAACTATAAAATAAATAATGAGCGTCATGATTTACAAAAAAAGAGAAATAATATTTTTTATTGCCTCTTTGGGTAACGCCGGGTTATAAAACTTTTTACTAATAAATGAGAAAATGCTTCTCCATGGATAAATTTTTTTTCACTCTTTAATTTGCTGACTAAAAAACTGACTAAGTATGCAACTATATCAAACATAACAGCACACTGCATTGTCAAATTTGAACTCGGTAAAAAAAAACTTTCTCATTATAAATGTTATCAGGGAATGATACCCAAATGATTAATGTAGGAATTTAAAATTTTCTGTCAGGAAGAATCTAAAATAAATCTAAAAAATTACCTAGATCTAAATATACTTAATTTATCAGTAAAACTTACAAAAAAATAAAAAAATAAATAAAATAATATTAAAAAAACCACTTCTATACGAATTTTGATCTGAGACGATTCAGGGTAAATATAAAATTTTATAACAGTCCACAATGTTATATTTTGACCAAAATACCCTGATGAACGAAATTATTTAATTAAATACAATTTTCAATTAATGAGTATCTTTACTATACGAAATAGCAGAGAGACATAAATTTTATACTTTGTAACTTATTGTTCACAACAAAATGGTCTTTTAAATTGTTAAATTTACTCTATACTGAATTCTAAAATTGTTAATTAGTATGATTTTTCATAATAAGAAATCCATACCTCATAACATTAGGCTTTCATCAAAAGATCTCTAAGAAATCCTCAGAAATGTTATCCGAGTAGGCAATAACAGGCTTAAGATTAGAATTGAGGATGGAAATCAGATTTTCAATTCAGAAGTAACAATAAGCTTCCCATAGAGAAACTGTACAATAATTTATTTAAATATTTTATAATTATAATACAATTATTGATTATAACAGCAAATATTGCTTTTGTACAACACTTGGGGGATTGTCAAACTCCCTTCATTAACAAACAGCGGAAAATGTTTGTACTTATTTTAGTTGATAGCCTATAATTCTGAAATGTAATAATTTGTCATGGCTTTGGTCGATTTAATGTTTCACCTCTTAAATAAGAAGTTGTTCCACTTGTTGGGTTCCAGGCTATAATGCTGTTATATACATTATATTTTTAATTTCATTTTCAATTCATTTGTATGAATGAAAAAGTAGATTTTTTTTAAATAATAATAAATGTCTTTATTGAATGTTACAAAATTAATGGATTAAACTGAAAACAGACTGACAGTACTCTCGGTCTGTAGACTGTCTGAGGGATTGTCCGTGTTATTTTTAATATTATTCTTTATTATACAATGTAATATAAGCATAAGTCATATATAAGCCACTTTTGTGAAAAAAAATTTAATAATTAAATCCCATGATTAACTAACTCTTCCTTTAAGAATTAATCCAGGCAGTTTTACAATAGTACATATAATAATACATATAAGGCTAGTACAACACTTATTGTTTAAATAACTAAAACCATATTCGCTTAAGGTTTATTATTGAGATGACAGCCTGAATTTTCTGTGTAGAGCAAACTGCTATAAATTGGAAAATAATTTACACTCTATTTTCCAAATTATGCTGAAGTGTATAGTTTTATTAAATTTCTGAAAGTGTATTTATTTATGATAAAATAGTTCGCCTTTAGCCCTGAGAATCCTGTTAATTGAGCCTAAATCCAACTTAGCATTTAATTGTATGTGCTTAGCATTTGCTAATTGTATGTGTTCTACTTTTTTCGAGAATTGTATTTAATTCTTACTTTCAACTAACAAAATCTCCTTTTTCATATTTTCATAGGCATTGTACAGCTTTCAATCCTTAAAGTAAAAAGCAGAGTATCCTGATATATAGGAGGGCTAATGTCCAACTACCCATTTGGTGTCTTAGACAAGGGTCAAACTACTTTAAAATACATTTTTCATATTATACAATTAAAAAGCAATGGGGGATATGAACCCAGAAGCACTAGTGTGACAAATACGAGTCGGATCCTAACCTCTTAACTAGAAGTAATCTAAAAGTTATATAGGTTTCCCAGATAGAAAATATAAGAAATCCGAACTACATTCAAAGACTCAAAGGCAGCCTATCTTATACACAGACAGAAGCACAACCTTATGGGCGAAATCTATCTAATACGGATAAAACCAGCAAAAATAAGCGAGTCTATGAATATTCTATCTCTCAATTTCCTTAAGCTACAGCTTTGGGTATTTAATAAAACACATTAAAAATAATGCAAATTAAATTAATTAATGGCCTGTGTATGCACCACTTTTTCCAATGCAGCAATCATACGATTGGGAAATAAATCAAAATGGCGGCAAATAAATTCTTGAGGGAATTTGGCCCACTCTTTCGGAATTTTTATTTATTTAATTCATCGTCATCTTGAAACTTTCTGCTGCCACTACAAACACTTCTGGCAAGGTTTCCCAGAGATTTTCAATTATGTTAAAATCTGAGGACCTTGCCGGCCAATCTAAAATTTGACTATTTTCTTTCTTTCAAAATTTTCTTACAAATTTTGCCATGTGTACTAGCACATTATCCTGCCAGAAAATGACATTTTCTTTGGGAACCATTTCAAAGTACATTTTAAATTGATTTTCTATCAATGTGACATAGTCTTGCCTATTTAGAAATCATGAGATGCAGTCTGGTGTAATGTAGATCACCAGACCACATCTCACAATCTCTAAATAATTATTAATTAATGGTCAGTAAATATTACACATCAGAGTCAATGTGACCCCCATATCATAAGGCTGCCCCCCCCCCATTTGCCTTTTAAAAAAACACACTTCTTTCCTTAGGTGTTGATAATAGTGAGCCCAACCATCATTACCATCGAAATTCGATGACCAGGACTTCTTTCTATTGGACAGGATCATGGGCACACTTCTTTCGTACTTTTTTGATGTAAGGAGCTGCGCGAATGACCTTTTGAAAATTTATCAAATTTGTCTACACCAGCTCTTGCAGTAATTTGATGGGCCGTTAAAGTAGAGTTGGAAGCTGTCCTTAAAATTGCCTTTTTGTCGTGCTTGTTCAGGAACACGGTCTTCCAGGAGATTTCTTTGTCCCATAGCTTTCTAGATATTTCAAAAAGTTTAAACTTTTCTAGTCCTACCAGTATTTTTGGAGACAAAAATGCACAATCCTCTATTTTTCATTCGCTATATATTTTGCTATTGATATTTTGATTTTGCTCATCCCATCAGGGATAATAATAATTTGGAGAGTAAATATCAAATTTTGTACACAAAGGATTTTTTTTCTGGCATGATTTAAAAAATTAATTTTTTGCAAGGTTGCTAGTGGCCCTTCAGGAGGGCAGGGAGCATGAAAATCTTTATGCTATATATGTTTGTATGTATATATGTCTTCTTGCTCTTTTCATAATAATTTGACAACCTGAGAGGGAAGCAACTTAAGAAAAGAGTTGAAAATGAATTGAAAAAATGACTATAATTATCCTAAATCTTTCCTAGAAATGCACACAGGTTATTGAAATAGTTGATTACAATAAATGTAAATCTAATGTCTCTAAGTAACTTTTGATGCAGAATACTTTTGGTTATAGGTACACTTACTAGTAGTAATTTTCATGGATTAGGTCAATAGTTTCCCGAGGTTTAATTAAGGAAATTTTTCACTTCAGGCTGATGATTACCGTTTTATAAATTCCTACGTTAATGTACTAATGTAAAAAAAATAATAGTGATGTGACTATTTTAATAGCATAACTTTATTGTTACTGAATAAACAATATTATTTCCCGACCAGAGAAAGTAAGTGGTTTACACTTGAGAGATCAATTACTAGGGAAAATAGTTTATTACCTAAACATTAAAGTTTCCCACAATTTTATCTTTTTCCTGGTTGAAAATGAACTCATTCAAAACTATTAAACCATTAAATTTATAAGCTTTTGTAAACAGAAAAAATAATTCTATTTTCATCATTATAATACAATAGGAGTTAACTCTAATTAGAACATCCTGTATGTAAATAAACAATTCAGGCAGTAATTTATATTTTAACCAACTACCATAGATGTATAAAAAATTACACTGTTTAGTAAACTTATTAAAATTAGAAATTTAATCAATTGAAATTTATGTTTGAGAATGAGTTTATTTTTTAAATTGCATCTTGGCCTGTAAGTTTGAAAATTTTGTATAATTTTGTAATCACAAAATTAGTTATTACATAAATTTATGAAGTATAATTTAAAGTTACACAATACTTAGATATTTTTTGTATTTATTTATTTATTTTTTATTTTTTTAATTTCTAGGTGGACCAACAAACGAACAAAGGAGACATTCATCACTCAGTGATACACCACTTGAAAGCAATGTGCTTCGCAAAGTAGCCAGTTTAACTCTTGAAAGGTCTACACTCGACCAGAAAGTCGCCCGCCCCAAGTTTGTACCGGAAAAACTTGATTTTCAACTTTACGAAAAATTTGAAGGTTAATTAAATTGCATACTTTAGCGGCTGAAATATCAAAATTCATTAATGCCCAGATATATTAACAGTTTTGAATATTCAGAAAAACAATTTTCATTCGGACAACCTTGTCTAAGCTTTATACATGAATAAACAAACACACCCACAGATTTCTTACTAGGTCATTGGTGCTTTGTTACATATTACATAATTTGTCACAAATCTCATTGGAAGGGATATGTGGGCAGATTCAGTTTATAATATGACTGACTTTAAACATTTCAAAGGTTCATATTAGTTTGTATAATATGGTCTTATCATATAATTTCAAAGTTTTTGTTTGTTAATTTTTATAAATTCAAATAAGAAGAAAAAATGTTTGTGCACAGGTCAAATGCTAGTGAATTGGTTGCTATCTACATACTCGAGTGAAAATTACCTGAAGAACATCTTACAGGTCAATGAGTGGAAGTTAATAATCATTCAATTCTGTACCCATCTTGTTGCTGCTGGAGTCCTGCGCCAACTCTCTGACAAGGATGCTCCTTTGGAATCTTTTTTCAGGGTGAGTACGGCCAACCAGAAAACTTAATTTGTTTTTAATAAAATTGTTAAATTTTTCAGCCCGATCTTATGTACTATTGGGCACATACAGAAGCTGTCAGTGTGGCACCACCCACACCAGGACGACTATCAACAATATCCTGGCCACCTACATCAGAAGAAGTAGTTAATGGTAAATCTCCTTTAGGTCAGTTTCATGCGCCAACTTGTATTTTTGTTCACTATTGAACAGAATTTGCCCAGAATATATGATTAAAAGTTTGTAATTTTGTGTATTTTTGTTTTATTTTATTGCTCTAAAGATGATAGTGTGAGGAGTGACCCAGAAGTTGACCTGATAACATTAAATCGAAAGTTGAAAGACCAAAGTGAAATAATAAACAACCTTCAAATCACTATAGACAAACTTAATCAGGAAATTGACAAAACGAAGACGCTAGCAGATATTGAAGTATTGGACTAGTTATTCATTATTTGTGTCAGTAGTACTAACAGTGTTATCAATTTCAGAAATTGAACCAACAGATGAAAGAAGATTTTCCAACAAAACTGAACACTGATGATATAAAAACAGCTAGAAGTGCTATTGTCGTAGAGATGGTTGAAAAATCTGTTCAATGCACTGTAGAGAATCAGTCTAGAAAGACATCCACAACTGATCCAGATTTAGTAACAAAATCGACACAGACGGTGATTTCCGAGTGTAGTCCGACAGCTACAAAACAGAGTGTTTTTGTCAATGAAAAGCCAATCACACAAAACACAACAATTATAAAAGTGACTAGCCGTAGTGAAGTAAAAAGTAGTGTACTTGAAATTGTTCCAATTTTAACAAGTACAATCGATAATGGAGGTAAAACAATATCCAAATTGAATGATACATCGAAGGAGGAAGAAGCATCGAGTAAAAAAACTGCACCAGTTACTCGAACAAAAGGCGAAACACCAAAGCTTACAGAAAGTGGTGCACATCCCCCACCACCACCTCCACCTCCACCACCACCACCTCCAGCTGGAGCTGAAATATCACTTTCAGCTACAATTACCTCACCACTACCTCAACAAAAACACCCAGTACCTGTAACAAGTCCAATACAATCCCCACCTGAAAAGGGTACTTCTTCACCTACCCAATCATCTAAAAAGGATGCTGTTTCACCTTGTATGGGGCCTCCACCACCTCCTCCCCTACCTGCAATAGACACTCCTTTGCACCCTCCTCCACCTGGAATAGGCCCACCCCCACCTCCATCACCTCCAGTTATGGGACCACCTCCACCTCCACCACCACCAGGTATGGGCCCTCCTCCACCTCCACCACCACCAGGTATGGGCCCTCCTCCACCTCCACCACCACCAGGTATGGGCCCTCCTCCACCTCCACCACCACCAGGTATGGGCCCACCCCCACCTCCACCACCACCAGGTATGGGCCCTCCTCCACCTCCGCCACCACCAGGTATGGGGCCTCCTCCACCACCTCCACTTATATCAGATGGACCTATTCCAGCCGCCCCAGGAAATGTTCCAGCACCTTTACCAGCCCCTCCAATAGGTGGATGGAATGCACAACATTCTTGTGAGTATCATACTTTAATTATTCATGAAATTAAATATCATTCTAATTAAACTTGTATATATGTAAATGTTGTAGTATTTCGTAAACAGCCTCTTGTACCTCCAGTTCCTATGAAACCCTTATATTGGACCCGTGTTGTTTTCCCTGTACAACTTGATACTCCAAGTGAAAAAAGGTAACACTTTTCTTTTATGAAGATATTTCTTTTTAATTATATTACAGAAATCGTCACAAATATTGGTGTTTTTTTAAGTGAAGCTGTTTGGGCTGAATTGAAAGAGCCTGATATACATGACTTAGATGAGTTCACGAAATTGTTTTCAAGACAAGTTGTTGATAGAAAGAACACCAAGAAAAAAGTCCTAAAACCAGCAAAAGCCGAGGTATTTACTTACATTAATTTTTTAGTTGACAAATATATATGCTTTGTAATTGTTATGTTTGTTTTAAATGTAATTAAACTTTAGTGTTTAAAATTGCTGCCAGTTATAAGCAGTTGTGCATGGAAAAATCGTTTAACCTTGTTTAAACTAGAAAAAACTACCGAAATATTTATGCACTAAAAATCATTACATACACCATTGCATTCAAAGCTTTAATATCTTATTATTAATATTTAATTTATGTAGTTAATTCTTTAGATCTTTTATTGACCTATAAATAGTTTTATCATAGGTCAACTATGTAAATTAATTAGGATTAAATTCAATTTATAAAAATTGTAGTTTACTGGCAGAAGTATAATAATCTTCTATATTTGCAAGAATATAGAAGAAACATAAAATATTTTAAATTTTAGGTAATAAAAGTTTTAGACAGCAAAAGATCTCAAAATGTTGGTATTTTATCTTCTAGTCTTCATTTGGATTTTTCAGAAATTGAAAATGGTAAAAAATAACACATTGATGAATATAAAAGTCACAAGTTCACTATTAAATCTCTTATGTTTATTTTTAGCTATTTATAACTTTGATACAACTGTAGTTAATTTAGAATCTCTGCAACAAATATATGATGTGGTAAGAAAAAACCTGAATTATGAATTGGTCGTTTTGCTAAAAAAATCATTTTTATTTTAGAGAGCTTCAGATCAAGAATTGGAATCGATAAAACAGGCAATGAGCCTACAACCTGACCTAGCTTTAGATAAACCAGAACAGTTCCTTCTAGAATTAGCAGAGATTCCTCATTTTGCAGAGAGAATTGCATGTTTTATGTTCCAAGCAGAATTCACAGATAATATCACTGGAATTGAAAATAAGCTGAACAATCTAAAGTCCATCTGCCAGGTTCAAATTTTGATACCGTATGCATTGAAATTGAATCCCATCTAAATGTCATTTTCATTTCAGACTTTAATAAGTTCTGACTCATTAAAAAAAGTCCTCGGCATAATTCTTGCACTAGGCAATTTCATGAATGGAGGAAACCGGCAGAGAGGCCAGGCGGATGGATTTGGGTTGGAAATTCTGTCCAAACTCAAGGACGTCAAAAGTACAGGTAAATCAATCGCCTCTTCCTTTATTTCAATTTTCTAAAATGCATATCTCCTTGTAAATGTTTAGATAACTCTATAACCCTTCTCCACTACATTGTCAGAGCATTCATTCGACAGAGTGGAGACGTTAACATTACTGAAATCCCTCTCCCAGTACCAGAGCCAAGCGATATCGAAAGAGCAAGTGTTGTCCACTTTGAGGACATTGAAGCACAAATTATGAAGTTAAAAAAAGACCTCGAAGGTAATTTCTTTATCTGGAAAATATTTAGTTTTAAAGTAAAAGACTTAAAACATAGGTTGTTTCTAATGGATGAATAAGTAAATAGGACTATCAGTAACATATTAGATATGCCTTTTATTTTTATGTATTTTTGACAGGATGTCAAAGAAAAATGGAGAAAGTTACTAGTTCTTCAGATGAAAATGTACAACCGTTCAAGAGTAAAATGGAGTCATTCATGGTGTCTGGTAAATTAGGTTTTGTTTTGACTTTTTACTTATATTGCTTACTTATAATTATTACTTATCATTTGTACAGCAAACAAGCACATTTATGAAGAAGAAGAAAATTTGGAAGACTGCAAGCAAAGGTAATTTATTTAAAGTTGATCAAATTATAAGTAAATAGGTTTTTACTGAAGTTTCTTTTGTTAAGGTTTCTTGCCTTGCTTAAATTTTACCATTTTCAACCTAAGGGTGGAATGAAGTATGAGGAAGTCACACCCCAGGACTTTTTTCCATTTTGGGGCCCATTCTGTTCTGATTTCAAAGACTTGTGGAAAAAGGAACAACAGAAACTAATAAAAGAAAAGTGAGTTTTACATTATTGCTAATTAACCTGTAAACTAATTGTCTCATTTCTCAGACTTCAAGAATCAAAGAGGAAGCAGGAAGAAAGGAAGCAGCAGATTAAAAAAGGGAAGAAGGGCGAAGGTGGTCTGGTGAGTTTTATGTCAAAGGAGAGTTTTTGCTCCCATACATTCTTAATACTACACATATTTTTCTATAACAAACTGATGGATGAACTTGTACTTCATTATTTATATAAGTTTTTAATATATAGAAGAAATTGAAAATGAAACAGATTTTTTTTTCTTCGAGTTTTGAAGTTTACACATTCATCCTTTTAAGGGTTTTCAAATTAATACCATTTGGTGCAATGCAATATTTGTTTAATAAAAACCAAAACTCTTCTATTTTTAAATAGCCTATTTTTAAGACAGTAGATTTATCAAATTTTGTTTCTACAGAAATCTCAGCTTATGAAACTTGGAGAGAAAATGTCAAAATCTCCACGGTAGTGTTCAATGCGATCTTACAGAACCATCACGGTTCTCCACCTAGACACACATATAATCAGGTCTTTGACAGCCATTATGGATGAAGATTGTAGCCAGAATGGAATGAAGAGATCCAATTTTATTTGGTTGTTGAAGTTAAGTTATCTCAGTTGTAACGATTCAAAAGAATATGAAAATATGTTATTTTAATATTGTTATTAATTGTTTGATAGTAAAGTGTTACATTGTATGTTTCAACAAATTAATGAAAAACAAAACACAAATTTCAATTTTTAAATTTCTGTGATATTGTTTTGTTACATCTTTTATACATAAAGGAGAGTTGAGATTTGTAATAATAAAATCTAAAAATAAATTAACTGTTATTAGGTTAATGAGTTTTTTTTTTATTGCTTTTTTAATGTCCATATTGTACTATTCCATGTATGTGTTTTGTTATTCAGATCTGCCTTTTTTGAATATTGCGGTAAATTTTCTTGGAGAAGACTTTCGAAATGCTTTTTCTTTGTCAAATGTTGACTCGTGATCTTCGTCAAATGTTTTTTTCTTTTTACCATCCGAACCCTTCTTATGAAAATGTGACATTTTTTTTGGTGGGCCCCACTCTGACACATCACCATCAGTTCTAATAATAAAAATTGTTTAAAAAAATAAAAATCAATTAAATACCACCATGAAGTCTAACCCTAAAATAATAAAAATATTTAATTGATATTGCTGCATCATACACGAGTATTTTTCGTTTTTTAATCTCTAAGCAAAACTAGGGTCACATTTTAGGTGGTTTTACCCTCTTTATAAGATCTTAGACATCTTAAACAATTTACTTTTTTACTAATGTGCAAATTCACAAGTTTCAAAAGCTAAGTTGTCCTAATTTAACAAAATACTTACTCATCCATACTATCTTCCATTACACTACCTCCAAAAGAAGTCATCCGTCTTTCTGTATTATCGTCTAGCGAATCTCTACCTATGAACAATTATTGCTGTATTTTCTTTCATAAATTTTCTTCTATAACAAAAATCTTTGTTGGAGGATTTATTTACTTTTATCATTACTATACCATTATTATTGACTGTTGTTTATTTAAAAACAAAGTGGACAGCCTACAAACTAAAATTTATTACCAATTTATTTATCTTTCTTTAGTTCCATAAACATATATTTTATACTTGAGAGATCTTAGGACTTCTCGTGGCAGCCATGAGAGTCACCCACTTCGGTGTTGTCCCCTAAGTTAGGCTCCAGGGGCTGTCAAAACTAGATAATTTCAGCCCCTAATGCATGCAATTTTAAATGTATTAAGACATACTCACGCAATCTTACATACATTTTTTCTTATTTAAATACCATTTGCTCAAGTATGACGAGGGAGTACTCAATATGCTGTATTACACATATACAACTATGGGGTACCAATATTTCACCATCATCCCTCTCATAATACACACTCATGTTAATAAATTCTAAGCACTAAATACAATACAAATAGCCCTGTTTCCTCCAAAAATCAAAACAGGGAACCCACCCAAATATTGCTGCCATACTCAAGCAAAATTATCATTTTGGGTGGCGTTACTTCTCACTCAATCTCTGGAGTCAAGAAATGAAATACTTTAATTATGTAAGACAAATTAGCAACCTTTCTCAATATTCCAGACAATAATAACTGAGAGTCATCCTCACATGGCCTATTCACAGTCGTGAGTATGATCCCTCTTGTTCGATTCAATTTTCTGAATGTTACCTATCAACTAACATTTCCATTTCTTTTTAATCATGCTTTTGATTGCATTTTTAGTATGAGGGCAGAATTGTGGTGGAATGGCGAAAGGTTGGGACGTCCCAGCATGAGCTGTCTTTTTTGCCTTTTCGTTACGTTCCACATATGTGTCCAGGGACCCAGACAAACACCAACTTTTGTCAATTCGCCCTAGTCCTAGTATTTCTCTAACAAGAGTATGATAAGAGGGTTTGCAGAGGACCTGCCATGGGTCAGCAGTATCTGTACTCAGAGAGTCAGTGGAGGCTAGGTGAACTGAGCCCCCATCATCTCGAATCACCCCAATCAAACTATTATTCCATATTGTATACAATTGCACTGGTTAAATACTAAAATGTGACAGGAGTGACTATGATGTGGACACACCTTCAATACATACAGTACACACCTGGAAAAAAAAATTATGGGAAAAGATATTAAAATCTTTTCTGACAGTCAGGCTAGTCTTAGGGCATTACAAAAAGATTTGTCAACCTCACGACTGGTGGATGAAACTATAGATCTTATCAATAGGATCTCTTTCAGGTTTGAGAACAAGGTAACCCTTATTTGGATACCAGCATATAAAGGACACCATGGCAATGAAAAGGCGGATGGCCTAGCCAAAGAAGGTTCTAATACTGCGTTTGTCGGGCCACAACCGGTATTACCTCACTCTATGAGCACAGCGAAAGAGCGTATCAATAACTAGTGCATGAAACAGGGAGTGGAATTTATCCCCTGGACACAGGCAATCGAAAGAGTTTGTTAAGGCGATCAAACCAGCTGAATCAAAATGGCTATTCTCTATCTCAAGGAAGGGAATTAGGAGGCTGATAGGTATTCTGACGGGCCACTGCCCACTGAGAAGACACCTCTTCGTAATGGGTATCCTATCAGATCCCTTTTGCCGCTTCTGCGAAATAAAAGAAGAAACGGCAAAGCACTACCTCGCAGAATGTGATAGGTATACCTACTATTATAACCTAATGTACTTTTATAATAGAGGGAGAACATGTTATATTTGCTATTTGGGATTTATATAAACTCAAATCCACACATGTATACTTACAAACATGTGCCGTATTGAGCCTATTCGCTTCTTCAAGTTCACCGATAATTCCAGCTTTTCTTTACAGTAACAGTAACGGCAGACTCGAGAATCACCCACCCCGTGTATAATCAGTCTGGGGCAGACCTCAATCTTACCTGCCAGGCTAAGGTTTAGCACCACTCGGGGAGGGGGGGGGCTTTCAACAGATAGATCAATTCAGTACCCAACACATGCAGTTCCAAACCAATTCATACTTACGATCACTGTTAAATACATTCACTCCTATTTACATACCATTCATTCAATTAGGGTGATGGAGTAATTGATATTCCTCCATCAACATTTACACATATTACAATTAATTAAGGTTTTTAGTTGAGATAAAAAAAAGTAAATGGCACGAGCTGGATTCGAACCCATGATCTTCAGCTTGATTCACCGCTGCTCTACCACTTGAGCTATCGTGTCCTCGATCCACTCGGACACCAACTTCCCATCTCAACCGCACCTTTTGAATTTTCCCTCCTTTTTGCCTTTTTTATCTCAACTAAAAACCTTAATTAATTGTAATATATTAATTGGTCAAGCGGATACGAAATTAGTGAATTTACACATATTTTACTTATTATATTCCACCATAAATCCTCTCACATCATACATTCATGCTAATAAATACATTCACTCTCAACACAAACTAGGTATACACGTCACAACTATATATTTGCTATTATATAAAAACAGTTTTCAATTAATTTATTAATGTTAAAACTAAATTTACTTACTCAGTTCAGTTTTCAACCACTTAGGTGCAATTGGATTTCTCTTAGCAACATGCATTTGGTCACTCTCTGTTTAGAAAATGAATAATGAAGTTTGGGCTTTCTATTCAATTAATATATTTATTTGCCACAAGTACCTAATAATAATAATAATACTCACTTGTGAACCAATTAATTACAAGTAGTATAAAATCTATGACTTTGTCGACAAAGCTAGATTCATAGGTTGGCGTGTAGTTTATAAATTTCATTAAGCTTTGCCCTCTATAAAATGCAAGAGATTAGACAAAAATGAACAGTCCTTCAGCAACATGTGATTTACCTTACGCTGAGAGCAGCTTCTGCAGCATTTTCATAAGTACCTATACGAGGTATGAGATCAGCAGCAAAATATTGTTCCATGGCTTCACCACTATGATCAAAGTAAAGTTTTCCTATTGGTACAAGTCCTAATTCATCCAGTCTAAGATTTAGACTCAAAGGCTCTGCTTTAGTCTGCTTAAGGACTAGAACGTTTTGGATTATTTAAAAAGGATAACTTTAATGATTAATAATAATATTTACATAGCTGAAATTCGTGCTCATATTGAAGGAAAGTTTTAATATAAATTTTAACATCTTCTATTGTTTCTTCTGGGGCAAACATAGCCTGAAGAACCTGACCATTTGGGAAGTATATCCTGATCACTGTTTCATCTTGATATGCTTTTTTTTGCTTTATTTTCTCTAAATGTTCCCTCACCTGTTTTTCTTCTTCCTCTAAATTTACTAGCTCTTCACTGTGAAAAAAATAAAAATTATGTTGAGCATGCCAATCTCTGTACATTACCTTTCACCTGCTTTTTTTTACTTCATGAAACATGAATTGCACCTCTTCAATAGTTGTATCAAAAAATTCATCATGAAGAGCTTCTTGTATATCTAAAGCTTGTGGCTGATCAAATAGTACTGCACTTCTTCCTCCTATCTATATTTCTTTGGTTTAACGATTTTTGTTAAACTAATCACTTATATTTTAGTTTGGTTAAGCAATAAAGGAAGAGTGACATTTTACACTTTATTAATTCAAATACTTACACACATGACTGAAGATGCTTTCGCTTCTACATAAGGTGAAAATTGTACAGTTCTTGCTCCAACATCACTATAATTGAGATTTATAAGTTATTTTATGTTGTAATTTGTCAATTTAGAAAAAAATCAATTTAAGATTTTTTAATAACATAAATATTATAATTTGATCCTTACCTTGATCTGCTTATCCTTGCAGGATTGTTTTTTTATTTTTGCATTTCACCATATTCAATGCTTGGTTCCAGACCAATGCAAAACGTATCTGACTTACCAATCAAGCGAGGATAGGCAGATCTAGATGATCGGTAAGGATTAAATTATAGGTTCGTCACCCCATAGACCACAGAATGAAATCTCACAACATAAATATTGTATACATTTTTGGGTTCATTGATTGACGATAATTCATATAGTAATACAATATGTAGTACAAGCCAAAAATGATTTTTAACTACCACGCTAATTGTTTGGAGCACAAACTCGTGGGCCCACAACACCATGAAGGCCTGAATTGAAGAAATAGGAAGCTACCACAAATGGATGTAACCCAAATTCTCACTTAGAGCATAAAACTAAGACATAAACACCAGATATTTCTCCCTAAGACTCAATTGAAGACTTGTTGTATAAAATATGGAGGGGTAAAATGGTCTTAGAATGTATAAAAAAGTAGGAAGAAACTTACATTTATTAACAGAAAACTTCAAAACTTGTCATCTGAAGAAAATTGACATTAATTGATACCCAGAATGTTCAAAGAAGTTGAGAAAAAACCCAGCATGTCACAAAGTAGCATAATACAGTAGTTAATGTTTGGGACCTACTAGTCAAGCCAAAGAAGAAAAATTCAATCTCTAGATAAATTAGATCACTTCATTGAACTAAATACAAAATGAGGGATTAAATTGATATTATAAAGTATATACCTCAAGAGCTTCAACTTGCACAACTTGTAGTTTTCTGCTTTTTGCAGGAGAGACCAACAATGGTTGGCGACTCCCTTCAAGACAAGATATACAGCAGTGTATAAACGTAAATAACCTCAAATTACGAGATGCATATTTTATTAATACAAGTAGTAATTAAAAAACACTTTTTGCAAGATTTAATCGTTCTGAGAGAAAGAGAAAGAGTGAAGACAAATATTAATAAATATTATTTGGAGAAGAGATTGAAAGAAATAGATAGGTATCTATATAGATAGAAAGATAAAAATACATAGATAGAAAGGTAGGAATAGATAGATAGAGAGAGATAGAGCTATATAGAGAGAGAGGGAGAGGGAGAGAGAGAGAGAGAGAGAGAGAGAGGGNTATATATATATATATATATATATATAGAGAGAGAGAGAGAGAGAGAGAGAGAGAGAGAAGATAAAAAGATTTTCAGGGTGATTATATGCTAGGTCACTATCCTCAGCAGAATACCAACACAACACAACAAGGATAGGCAAACCAAAATGGTCAGTAACCCGTACTTTTAACAAGCTTAGCAATGATACTCAAAAACTAGCATATATTAGTACACAAGTAGCATACATTTTTGTGTTTGTAAATGAGGGTTCACAACCACAGAGGTCACATCTGGGTGTTGATGTTTTTGAAACAAAGCCCATTTATAAGTATTCGAGTTCGAATGCAGGGCTGCTGGATTTGAACCCTGGACCTTCACCTTACATCGATGAGCGTCGTGTTAACACCTAAACTATTATGAACCAATACCCCTCCCTCTAAACAATATTCTTAGAAGATTTAGCATTTTGTAACATTAAACCTCACCAGTGTAATTAAAATCTTCTTATTTCACAATTGAAATAAAAAAATTCTTTGTACAATGAAATATTTAAAAAGATATTAACTATTTCAAACTTTAACTGAAACACATCACAAATATGAGATACAAAATTGCACAGAAGCCTATAAAAAAAAATAGAGGCAATGGTACAGCAAAGTCAGTAGGAATACAAACATAAGAAATTGTACACTTTGATTCATTCTGTGTTATTTCTGCCATTTTTAATTCAGCATTCAATAACAAACTCATGTAATATTTATATTTCAAAAGATAATCTTGAAAATGAGAAAGTAGGTAGGTAAAAAAGAAATATGACTTGAAAAGTGTTTGGTTTTACATTGAATAACTTATTTTTAACATTAGCTATAAACATTCTTGGGTAATTAAAAAGAAAACTGAATATATTGCCAAATATTACATTTCATCAATTGATAAATTCAATAAACTTGTCTTGATAATGTGCTTCATTCACCTCAACTTTAAATTTAATATAAAATAATTATTATTACGTTGCTGGGCCTGATGCGATAAGTTCAAGAGATTCTAAAGTTCCTTGAGAAACATTATCATCTTTCATCTTTCTTTGGTCTAAATCTTCCTGTTTGAGTTGTAAAAATCTAAAAAAAGACAAAAAAATTACTAATGACAGAGTTTTTTTCTACGAAGGAAAACACCTCAAGAAACAGGTTCCTCTTGTTATACCAAGATCTCTTAATGTCACAGTTTTCATTACTTTTTTACCAATAAATTCCTGTTTCATGAAAATGACAATAGGGACCATGGTTTTATCAAAAGTATCTTTGGCACACAACCTGGTTACTATGTGCCAAAGATTATCTGTAACATTTACAATCATTAACTATTTCCTATTATTTTTCTCTCTAATAAATTACCAAGAGAACAAAAAACCGAAGCGAATCTCACGTCTTTTACTTGAATTGATACATGTATGTCAACATTTTCTGAACGTGACTTTCTCCCTTTGAATAATTTCAACGTTCCATTTGGAAACAAACCAGCTTCTTTACAACTCATATCTACGCTTAATTCACGATTATGAAACCTATTTAAAATATTCAATACATTTCAACATATTAAGATATAACACTTAAAATAAATTTACGTTAAAAAATGATCATTGGGATCTAATGATATTCTGTGGCATATTTGGTGTAATAACTGCAAATAAGAAATGTTTAAAAAAATGTCTATGCGGTAATAAAGAAATAAAGTAAATTTAAGCTGTACATCTCTTATGAACATGTCTTCACGATATTTAACTTGAATTTTCAGGCCTGATGGAACTTCAACGTTAATTGTGTAAATGTAGATAATTGTCGAACCCCTTTCTCTAGAGTGTGATGCCTTAAGCTTTTTTTCACTTTGTCTTCTATCTTCGTTGTCGTTATCGTCCATTTCTTCTTGATTCTAGGGATTCTAACAAAAAGAAACGTCATGTGGATAATCATATGAGTTAAATAAATATATATTCATCTGTTTGTATTTTACTTCAAACTGTATGCTGAACAGCATGAAACAAATAAATGAGCTGTATAAAACTGAATTTAGGACACTGTTTTTACAGTAAAATGAAGGATTAAGTGAATTCTATTACTATTTTGTTAAAAATAATTGATCCATATACAATTATATTTTGAATTTAATACAATTTTAAATTGTATATTTATTATAAAAATATATAATGTTTTATTTTCCAATTTCATCAACTCTACATAGTAATATACATAAATATGTATATATGTTTATATTATCCTCACTGAAGTTCACACAAAAAAAATCAATTTGTGATACTATATTATAGTACAAAAACAAAACTCTCTAACCCTTGCTAGCTAATAAATTGCTTCATGGACTAGAAAATTCCGTCAATCTTAATTAATTTTATAAACTATTTACTGGTGATGCATAGATGAAATCTCTTTATTTTCATTTTGAAAATTGTAAGAAAATTCAGATCTGAGACCCGATACGGAAGAAGGCAAAATGCCAAAACACATCTGACCGAATAACCAGTGAGGATAGGCAGACCAAAATGATCTGTAATGACCAAATTACAAGATCGTCCCCCTGCAGACCACACAGAGGAATATAGTATTTTATTAATTTTATATGAAAAAAACTGAACCTGAAAAACCTGAAACTTGTTTTCTTTGGTTGCAAAAGTTGGTTGTTTTGAAATTCTCAACCTGATTAATATTGCAAGACTTGACATTATTTAGAGGGAGTCCTGATAATAAAGCCATCTCCAAAGTATTCCTTGTATTCTGTATGTATCTTAAGTGCTTTATATTTTAAAATGATTTTAAAATTAATGATATCTCACTATGTCTATGTGTATGATGTCTGACTAATAATTGGAGTGGCAATTTTTTCCTACTCTAAAAGTCATATTTTTAAACTTTTGGATAAATTATTGTGAAAATGTATCTGCAAAATCTTTGAAAGTTGAAACACATACATTAGCGTTACACATAATGCTAATTTTAAAAAACAATGCCAGAAAGACAGAACTTGGAAGAGAACCAAGGTAGCCACACAGACAAGCTTGCCTGATGAAGGTCTAAGCCTAGTGCTATTGCCTTCTTTCCATGACCCGAACGTCTTTTCTATGAAACGTAATATACTTTGTTTATTTTGTGATATTTTTTGTTATATTAAAATTAACAACAATAAAAAAATATCGGAAATGTGGAGCCGACATTTGGTGAGGCCATTTTTTTTATATTTTTTTATTAATGCGTAGTACTATTTTTATTATTTATTGTATTGCTTTGTAAACGGTGTAAACTGTGAATGGTGAAATGTATGCTACCAAAGAAAAAAAGCGCCACAGAAAATATTTCATGTTACACTGACAAAAAAATCTTCATAATATCACTGCCAAGTAGCACTAAAAGCATTAGCACGTAAAAAGTCAGATCAAAAAGACAGTGAATGCATCCAAAATCTAAAAACCTGTGAAAACAGCAACCAAAAATATGGGTGCCAGGACACGAAGAAATTCTGTGGTATGAACAACTATAGAAACTGGCTACAGGAGAATTGGCAAGACCATATATAGGCCCAGAACCCAAAATTAGGATAACAGAATAAAACATAAGATTCATCCATCTCAGAAAGGGTCCACAAAAAACAAAAGAAGTGGACGAACTCCAGAGGTGACAGACACTCTAAATTTGACATGGAAAAGAGTAATGGTCCAAGAATGGAGCCTTGGAGTACACCAGCTAAAACTGGCAAACAGACTCAGGGGGGGTGATACAAGGTCACTGACATCTGAGAAAATATACACATGGGTATATTCAAGATGACCCCATTTGTAGGTTATGCAATGAATTAAACTGCCAACCAAATTATCTGCAAATGCAAGGCAACTGCTCAATAGTGACATACCTATGGTACCAAGAAGACCCAGGAAAAAGAATTGCAGAAATGAGAGTAAATGACCTATAGACTGCAGTGCTTGGAGAATACAAAATCCCCTCTTTCTTACTATCCTTCCTTTCATCATCAGCAATTTGAAGATTTTTTTTGTTCAATTATTTATTGATTTTTGAGGTACAAATAGGGCTTTAAGCCCCCTTATATGTACATATATTAGCAATAAATTTAACAATTAATTAAGGTTTTAGTTGAGATAAAAAAGTCAATGGCATGAGCGGGATTCGAACCCACGATCTTCGGCTAGATACGCCACTGCTCTGCCACTTGAGCTATCGTGACCTCGATCCACTCTTACATCAACTTCCCATCTCAACCCCACCATTGGAATTTTCCCTCCTTTTTGCCATTTTTCAAATGTCGTGTAATCGGGTTGGATTCTCGAAGACAAATGAAATGGCCACGGAGAGCTTTAGTGAAGTATACTTCATTTTTAATCGTTAAATTCACTAATTTTGTGGTCCGCTTTTACAATTAATTAAGGTTTTTAGTTGATAAAAAAGTCAATGGCATTAGCAGGATTCGAACCCACGATCTTCGGATTGATACGCCGCTGCTCTACCACTTGAGCTATTGTGACCTCGATCCACTCGGACACCAACTTCCTATCTCAACCCCACCTTTTGAGTTTTCCCTTTGAATTTTTTTATCTCAACCAAAAACCTTAATTAATTGTAATATATTAATTGGTCAAGAGGACCACGAAATTAGTGAATTTAATAAATTTAACTTTATAAGCATAGTATAATAATAGTAATAGCAATAATAATAATACATTTAATGAAATATACAAAACAATGACAGTAATATATTCCTTAAAATATTATTTACAATCATTTACAAAGATGAAACATTTCAAAAGAAAAGCAGAAAGAGAAAAAAGGTAAAAGGAAATGGGAAAAAGAAAAGGAGATGATTCAGATTTTTAAAAACACAAATGTCATGGACCTGAAACAGGCCAGCAAGGGAACAAAATATACATTTCTCTTGCCCCCAGGCAATTCTGAAGGTTAAGGATAAAGGATAAATTTTTAGAGTAGTGTTGAAGGAGAGAAAAAGTCAACAGATATTGAGGACAGTTATTTTATTGAATTTTAAATATACATATTAAAACTCTGAAGTTTATAAGTGCTTAGAATGTTAAGGTTGCTGACTGAAGTATTAATATAGAAAGAAATATGATCTCTTGGTTTAGATCATAACAGTTTCTAATACAGGAATTATAAGCAATTTGAGGGCAATGAGCAGACTGAGTCTAATTAAAGAGAAAAAATAGCACTACGGTATGAGAATAAAGGAATTATTAGGAATTTAATAAGAAATGAGTTTTCTGTAGAGTTAAAAAGCTAAGGCATCAAAGAGAATGGAGGTTTGATTACTTTTCTAATGATTTTTAACTTTAGGACAAAAATGAAAGGGCAGCCATTAATAAAAAGAGAGGACAGGCAATTTGTATTAATGGGTGTCTTGGAAGTAGATAAGTTCTGGGATTTGTTAGGATTTAAAAGAATGCTGTTATTTCTTGACTATTGGTTGAGAGAATGAAGATCGTGGTTGAGCAAAGTATTTAACTTCAGAGGTGTTGCTTGTAGGACATTGAATGTAAAGCTGTCATCAGCATAAAGATGAAATTGGGATAATTTAAGAACTAATGGGAGATGTTTAATAAACATGGAAAAGAGTAATGGTCCAAGAATGGAGCCTTGTGGTACACCAGCTGAAACTGAGAGAGAAGGAGAGATAATTTGAAGCTTTTATATCTGAGGTGTCGACAGATAGATGCGATTAGTAGCAGGATAAAACCAAAAAGATGTGTCAGTTTGCAAATAGGTAAATTATGGTTTATGGAGCCAAATGTATTGGAAAATTGAAGCAGAACAATAATAAATAGTACACTTCTTATCATAAATACGTAGGTGGATGTCATTTAAGATTTTTGAGAAGGGCTGTCCCTCACATCTAAGAAATTTTCGGAAGTCAGATTGAAAAGGATATAAAGGGCATGTAATCTAAATGTATATAAGCTAAAATTTTGTAGCAGTGTATAAATTCATTTTTTTGAATCTAAAATTTTCTTAGCATTCAATCTTTTTTACATCCTACATATATTTGTAAAATTTAAACAATGTTTATAAATCCCAGGCCCTGATGATGTCAATAAAGAAATGTCAACACGATAAAGACAATTTTTTCTAAAGCCGACATCACTCCAGACCAAATCTTACCATCTTCAAGTAATCATTGGCTAACAATCACAAAAATCTCTAATACTTTAGATTGTGATGGAAGAATACTAACAGAGGCGGTAGTCACTAGCAAGTGTTAAATATTAGTTCAAAACGTGGGTTATGTATTTTAAAGTAACCAGAAGGGAAAAAATGGTAGTTTTTAGGCATAAGATCAGATCAAATCCTGTAGCAGATTTAAATAAAGGAAGACTTCTAAAACATATGCACGAGTAATATTTTAAAACTAAAGGACAGTATCATAATTGAATCTTCTTTTGAACTACAACCTACTCTCTGGAATCCTGCTATTGAATTTTTTGTATTTACCTGCATGTTTTATTTTGTTATTGTATTTTTTATTTATTATAGAATAGATTTAGGAAAGTTGAGAGTACCTCAAAATATTCATATTTTTGGACTGATGTATAAGCTAATATATATCATTTGATATGTACATCAACATATTTAAATATACCACCCTAGTCTCAGCTCACTTTACAACTACCTACTATATATTTAACAATATATAATTTACATATATTTAACAGTATGTTTTCTCATACGTAAATTGCACTTTTGCTTTTATTATAGGTATGTATATTTCCCATTCCTTATAAACAATAATCTGTTAACTAAAATGCTGACTTAAATAATGACAATAACATATAGGTAGGATGGAAATTAAAATACAACTCCCGTTTAAATAAAAACTCTTTATTTATTTAAGAGGAATGAACCTAGAACTGTGGGTAGCACCAATACCTGGTCTACCATGTTTTACAGGCTTGTAAGTAATGCTGAATTCGCCAAGATAATGGCCAATCATCTCAGGCTGCAAATGAACAAAAATGTGTTAAAACAGATTTTAAAAATTTGTCTGTGTAAGTTTACCTTGACTTCAACCTGGGCGAAGGTCTTGCCGTTGTAAACACCGATCATGCTTCCAACCATCTCAGGCATGACAATCATGTTTCTGAGGTGTGTTTTAACAACCTCGGGTTTCTCATTGGGCAAAGTTTCCTTTTTGGCCTTTCTCAATTTCTTGACAAGTGCCATAGGCTTGCGACGAAGTCCCCTGGTGAACCTCCTCCTAGCTCTGCAGTGCATCAACTGGGTAAGTTGTTCACTATAAAAAAAAAATAAAAAAATTAAAATGATTTATGCAGATATAACACGGCTAGTTTTAACCAATATACTCACCCTGGCAAGTCAAGGAGTTGGTCCAAATCAACACCCTGGAAAGTAAACTTCCTGAACAACCTCTTCTTCTTGACAGTTTCATCTTGCTAAAATAAAAAATTAAACAATGACAATAGAACAAAAGGTACACAAGCTGTTTTCAATTCACTTTTTGCAAGCGCAAGAAGTAATTTTTTTGTTTTTCTCTGCGGTTGTTGCAGTTGTAATAGATGTGGGTTCTTTTTTGGTAGAATATCAAACAACCTGGTTTATCTTTTTGTGTATACATTTTGGGACAACCCGATACGTTCTTGGAGTTCGTGCAAATTATTAAAACTTTCAGCTGATAACAACTTACGTATTTACATAATCAATAAAATCAACTTTTTGATTAATCATTGAATGTTATTTTATACACTTTTCCTGAGGGGGGAAACTATAGTTTTTAGTGGAAATTTAGTGAATTTCCAGCTCCTGCAGTGTTTGAGAAAAGATCTCGAAGCTTCCAAAAGCCTCCTCAAACTTCAAAAAACGGTTTTTTAGTCAAATCCAGATACTTCTAAACATGAGTAAAACCATCTTTTACTAAAAGTGAAAAACATGTTTTACATCGGTTTTATCCCAGATGATTTGCAGCCTCGGAAGAATAATTTTAGCTTAAAAATCACTTTACATAAAAAAATTATTTTTTTATAGGGTGTGACCTTATTGGGCATTAAACCTTGGGTCTATACGTCAACGGTGCATCCAGCTCCAACAGAGCAAAGCCCTCGCAAATCCTGGCCCCAGGCTCCCAAGAACGGAAACCCATGGATCTGGCAAACTGATGCTTTTAATATTAATATTGTACGCATGGCTTTATCGCGGATGGGTCTGTGTCTAGTCACCATCAACTCCTCCAAGCTTGCTGGAGATTCCTTGATCTCTGGAGTCCGAGGAGGCCCCCTTAATCCAGCCCACAGGCGTCCCCACAAATCAGCTGTGTCACACCACCAAATGGGGAACCAAGGAACAAGAGTTACCTTGGGTCTATACAAGTCAACGGTGCATCCGGCTCCAACAGAGCAAAGCCCCTGCGAACCCTGGCCCCAGGCTCCCAAGAACGGAAACCCACGGATCTGGGTGGGATATTAAATTTTATCTATTAGCTGGATGTCAGTTAAGAAGTTAAAAAAATTCTTTACTGATGTTGAGTTATTGTTTAGTATTGGAGGTCTTTGGGGATATGATGGAGGGTTCTTGCTTAAAAATTTAAAAATCACGAACTGTAGGTTTTTGATAAAAACGCGTTTTGTGTTCACTTTTATACTGAACAGCATGTTTTTCAAGGATTGCAAAACATAGCGGACGTGACTCGTGCCAGGCGTGAAAATACCAAGGTTTAAAGGGCGAGAAAGTTTTTTTATTACGTTTTTTGAATTTCCGTTTTTCTGTTCTTTTCTCAATTTTTTGTACATGAGCATATCAGTTACTACAAATTGTCTGTATGTATCAATCTGCCAGGGTAAAAATCTAGTCTCCGGGAATTCAGATTTTAAGGTTAGTGAATGTCGAATAAAACACGCCGTTCTGTAATTGTTCTCTTTTCAGACGGACTGGGGGTCGTCTCTGAGTAGAATTCCTGTCGAAATTTCCAACAAAATGATGCGATGTTTAAAATAAAAATGGATAAAAAGTACTCACTTCAGCCATGGTTAAATCCTTTCAAATAGAGACACGTGAAAGAAACCAAAACGTTGAAAAACGTCCGGTTAGAGAGAAATGGCCGACTGAACTGAGACTGAGTGATTAAAGGCCAGATCGCGCTGGATCCCTGCCCAATTGATGGGTCACCAAAGGAAAAAAACAATCCGTCCTATTTAACAAAAATTGTTTAAATTATACAACATTAACATTGAAGCAGATCTCTTATTTAAATATATATTTTTTATAAAATAATTTTGAAGCACAGTAGATCTACTGAGGTCAAGCTGCAGAAGGCCTTGTGGCCGCCTCTTTTATCCCTTTACAAATATTTAAAAGAGAATAAGAGAAAAGTGACTATCGCCCAGCTAGTAATCTTCCACCCCTTAGAATTAAATCAACTTAGACAATTTTATTTAAACAAACATCCTTTATTTATTGACTCCCATGCCCTTATATCCCATTTTCAATCTGGATTCCAAAAATTTCATAGTTGTGAGACATTCCTTTTCAAAAATCTCAGATGATATCTGTCAAGGCATGTTAATATATGTACTATTATTGTTCTCTTTAATTTTTCCAATGCATTCAGTTCCGTAAATTATAATTTAGAAACTGATGCTTCTCTTGGTTTTTCTCCTACTGCTACTAATCTCATCTGCCTGACAACTTTAAGATAAAACTTTCAAATTCTATCTCCCCTTCTCACTCAATTTCATTGGAATACCCCAAGGCTCTATTCTTGAACTTTTACTCTTTTCTATGTTTATTAAAGATCTCCCATTAGTTCTTAACTTTTCCTAACTTTAACTTATGCTGATGATGCTTTACATTCATGTCCTACAAGCCACTTCTTTGAAGCTATCTCACTGTTCTACCATGATTTTGATTCTCTCAACCAATAGTCAAGAAATAATGGCATTCTTTTAAACCATAACAAATCCCAGTATTTATTAATTTTCAATAAATCCATTAGTACACATTGTCTATCTCTTACTCATATCAACAGTTCCCCTATTGAATTTTGCCCTAAAGTTAAAAATCTTGGTGTTATTTTTAACTCCAAGCTTACATGGAATGACTATGTGAGCTCTATTATTACAAAGATCTACTCATGCCTCCATTCTCTTCGATGCCTTAGCTTTTTCACTCACAGAAAATCAATAAATTTTTGTGAGATTTTCAGATATGTACTACCTGCAACCATTGTTCTTATAAATTTATCAAATTGTGTTTATGCTGTTTCGTTATTTAGGCAACAGCTGTTCAGAATAAGTACCCAACAATTTCCAAACCTTGACCAAATTTGTTTGCAGAAGGACAACATGGTTTTATGCACAGTAGATCTCCAAGTACAAATTGGTTGGTTTTTTGTGAATTTCTGAATTAGATTGAGAAAGGTTCCCAGCTTGATGCTGTTTACACCAATCTTTCTAAAGCGTTGATTTATTTTGACCACAACCATCTATTGTTTAAAATTTAATACCTTGGCATTTGGGTATGTTGATTTCTTGGATTAGATCATATTTAAAATGCCAATGAGTGTTTTATTTAGATACTGTGTACAATTTGCCTGCTGTTCTAGGTTCAAATTCTGGCATAGTCTCTGAAAGTTTAATTGAGAATAATATGAATTTTTTAAAAAGTTGTTTGCCTCATATAAGCGACATCCATCAGGTAGTCCTCTTGTACTTTATTATTTTATTTTACTTTTTGTTTAAATGACCTCATGGATAGGAAACAGAGCACTAGTTTAAATTAAAAAAAATACTTTATTTTGATCAATTGTATAAAAATACTCTATGTTTCCAGATCACGTTCAATCAGCTTCCATGGTATTGTGTTGAACTTCAATCTGTCATGAATTTTTTCAAAATCCTCAAAAAGCACAAATGATATAGAGCACTGTGGGGAACAGAAAAGTACAGATCCCAATATATTAGCAGGCATCTGGTCATAAAAATTTCTCTGCATAAGCCATAGAATGCATTCTGTGAAAAGAGATTTTTCACAGTAATGACACTTTGCCACTGGCCCTTCATACAACATGCTTTTTATAGTCATCGGAAGTTTATTTATAATTTCAGGAAATAGGCATTGCCTAGTGTCTATCACTTTGAAGCACAGATCGTGAATTATTCTCAGGGAGAGTTCAAATAGAGATGGTGTCTGGAAATTGCTGGAATAAAACACCTTCCTAATTATTTTGGGGAGAGTGATTATTTTGTCAAAACTCGGTATAGATATTAAAATGTTGTTTAAACACTCATCGGATTTTATATTCTCACTTGCACATCTGCAAATAGATAAAAAATAAAAGCACAAATTAAAAAAACAAGACATATGTTCATTTTTTACCCAGTTAAATCAAAATGCCAAAGACTACTATTTGTAAGTAAGCTGCATCGTTGTGTCATCGCACAGCCTAGATCGTAAGACAGATAATTAAGCTGCGAATTATTAATAATCGATATCATTGGGCTGCTGATGAACTTCTCAAAAGGTAAAAACCTAAGCTTGTTTCCATTTAGTGATAAAAATGTCAAATTCGGCAGATAGACCTGAAACAAAATACCTCATTGGGCAAGATCTATGGAAAAGGCGTTGACTTACAATGTCAAGAGGAAGACTCGTGAGATGATTATTATCAAGAACTAGTTCCTGGAGACTTTTCAAGTGAAACAGAAGAGGAGGCAAATGTGTAATCTTGTTCCCACGCAAGTTTAATATCGCCAGTGCCTTCAAATCTTTGATTTCTAAAGTTAATAACAGTCTATTAATAATAGTGCTGTGTCAATTTTACGGTACAATAAAGTAATAGACAAAAGTTAATAAAGGTAATGTTGTATGACTTTTTATAATGAAAAAAAAAAAAAAATGAAAAATAGAATATTTACTTATTGCATTATATTTATTATATATAATTATTAGCAAAGAAAAAATGTTACCTGTAGGAATGAAAGTTAATTTGTTATTCTGAAGATTCAGAATATTTAGGTTTTTCAAGCGTCCAATTGTTTTTGGTAGTTGTTCCAACTGATTGCTTTGAAGTTCAAGTACAGATAAAAATTTCAGTAGTCCTATATTGTCAGGTAATGTAGTAATATCATTACCGACGAGAAACATCGAGGTTAGAAGTTTCATATTGTGTATCCAGTCTGGCTGCAACAGAATAAAATTAGCAACTAGAATAAGAAAAATTCTATTGAACTTACCAAAGTGTTCAAGTTGTTCCATTTCATGTATAATTCTTCGATGTGTTTACCATGGTATAACAGTTCAATTGGAAGCTGTTTAAGACCCTTATAATTCCAGTGTAAAATGTATCTGTTCTTTAGCTCATCGACGACCTCTTTACATAGGTACACATTGTTGGCAATGTTCTCACATAGTGGCATTTTGAAGTTTACAAATTTTGATTTACAGAATACAGTTCAGTAAAAAACTTTAGTGTCTCATTTTTATCTGACACATATTTGAGAATTGACCATATGCCAAAATAAGGGTATTATTGTTTTTAAAAATAAGTTTACAAGTTTAAATAAAGTAACTTTCAAACTTATTGCTATGACATAAACTTTGATTTTAAACTATGTTAAACTAGTGGAAATTAGTGCCAAAGCCAAATCTATCTACTTTGCTTTAAATAGTATTAAGAAATGGGCAGAGTTTGTGTTTCTCAAGTAAACTTTTTATATTGTAAGATGTTTTGTAGGGTGTAATATTTAATATAGTATACAACATATTATTTAAATAATAAAAGATATTTCTCCAAACAACTAGATTCAAATGACTAATGATAGAGCAAGAACAAATCAGTCTTTAGTCTTTGATTTTTTTTTTTAAATTCAATAATCTAATATTGTACTGTGTTAATGACAATTTGTACAGAAAGAGAAAAAATTTCATTTTATATTAATTTACAAATATGGATTAGTGATGGTGAATGTATGGACGATTGACAAAATTCCCTTTTCACATATACATTGCAGTTTGTGAATAATTAGGAACATATCTCAAAAACTCCAATTTTTCAGGACTTTATTTCCAACATCATTTCCAACTGAAAACTCCACCCTATATCTTATTATTAATTTTTAAGGGCGTTTTAATGCCTAAGGTCATTTCACGCCCTAACATCCAAACCTTCTATCTTAGTTTAATTATATCGCTTCTGAGTGCTATAAAGCTCTGACTCCAAACATTCACTCATAAACTAATTTATCTTATTGCCATTTAAAGCTTTAATTTATCTTTTTAAAATTTTTAATTTGGAACGCCAAATGTATGCAAAAATTTTAAATTACATGTAACATTTATTCTTTTATTTTTTATTAGAATTTTGAATTTTTGTTCCAAAATTTAAACATTTCCCATAGGCTTGTATGGCTAATAATAATAATAATGGAGTCAGACTAGCAAACTATATCTTATTACATTAATTTCACAATCTTCATATCAACTATTTAAAATCTATACATTTTTTAGAGGTGTTGGTGGCCGCAATCGCTTAGGCATTGACATTGTGCTCATCACTGTAAAGGTTCTGAGTTCGAACCCAACATACTACAAATGGTTTTTTTCTCAAAACCACCGGCACCGCGAGAGTTCATATAACCTCATGGTTGAAATATCCTCATAAAGTAAATAAATAAAAATTACTTGGACATTAGGATAAAAAAATTATAATGAATATAAACTTTGACCAAATATGTTATTTCCAACATTCAGATCATCCCAAAAGGTACTTTAACTAATAAATAATACTAAATTGGATTAAAATTCCGGATGAATAACTGTAGAATTAAAAAAAGATTCTATACTAGTATGAGTAATAATAGGAATTATTGTTGAGACACAAGAATTTCAGGGTCTGCATACTAATTTATTTGATATTGGGTAGTCAATGTTTATAAAGTCAGAACAAATAGTGCATATTTTTGTTTTCTTGCTCGACCATTTAAAACACATTAAAATAATGTAACATGTATTGAACAGTGGAACTAATAATTCCTGGAGAAATAACGAGTTTCAGTTTATTAGATTAAATTTAATCAATTGTTGCTAGGCAGATTTAAATCATATCAAAAATGTACCATATCTTAGTTCAGAATTAACTGTAATTAGTACAGTGGTTTCATTATATCACACTGAAAAAAAGATATATTTGTTAATAACATATTTGTCCCACCTTCCAATAGACCTAAACATTGAAAAAATAATTTTAAATAAATACAAGCACAATATATTCATTCAATCATTAAACCTTTTAAAAACCATTAGCTCAACAAAATGGGATGCTGACAGAAAATCTTCTTATATTACATAAAAGACTCATCAGATCTAAAATTGCTGTTTGTAATATTTTTGAGAGTGCAATTTGCAAAAATTGAGGATTTTAGACATTGTACACCAATTAGAATTTCTATTGTATACTTTCCCTCAAGCCCTGTATCCAATCATTGTAGCATCAAATCAACCGCACCTAGCCATTTGACAATATTTTGTCAACATGTTTAACAGCAAAAGTGTTAAACAATTTTTTCAAACTTAAATATTATAGCATGAATACAAATAAAAAAATGTATTTCTTTATAAATATGTTCAGGCAGTTCAAATGGATATTTTTTAAAAATACTTTTAAATACTCGCAAGACACTTTGACCATCATGTCCTAAGAATCTAGAAAAAAAATTAAAACAAATTGACAAAATATTTCCAGAAGAAATTGGCATAGTAATTCAAATTTTTTCATTCTGGCCGATTCTAAATTGATGCCCTAGCTTCTTCATGGCGACTATGTGGTTGATTGTCGTACAGGTAGATAAACATTTTTGATTCTGCAGTTGGGTTTTTTCTGATCATTATTTTCTCGCTATTCTCACTGGTTTGGTTTGTCAGACATGGTTCAGCTATTTACCATATTCAGTGCTTGGTTGTAGTTAGTGGGTCAGGGTTATAAGCAGGGTAAGGCTGGAAGCAGGTAAACAAATCCAGCACTGAAGTCTGTCCATATTCATACTGTAACGATTATTTCTGGAAAACAAAGTTTAGGGAATTATTTTTGAGACTTAACTAACATAGCACGAATACGGTACAAAAGATACCGAATGTAACTGTAAAATAAAACCATTTGCTATTTTGCCTTTGAAAAAAAACCTTCAAAATATTTTCTTCAGGTGTGACAGATTTATGACTAATAGAAATGAATTAATGTAAAATTATTTATCATTAATCTAGGCGAAGGGAATCAAACACCTATTAGTTCGAAAGATTTTTTCATACAAAAGAAGCAGTCTGAATAGATTTTTTTTTTTTTTTTTTTTTTTTCAGAGAGATAAAAACACGAAAAAGTCCGAGTCCAGGCCAGTTTGTTAAAACGGGAATATCGTTGGCCGTTGTTTGAAAGTTACTTTTCTTGTGTAAATACTTCGCATACTTTGTGCAAGATATTGGGTCACGTTTGGCATGATTAATTTAAAACCCGAAGTCATTTTTATTTATGAAGCGAAAAACTGTTTATGAATTATCTTGTTATTGTTAAAATTGTCTCAAAGATAGTGAAGAACGCCGAATCTGTTAACAACCCATAACATAGTTTTATCAACTTTCGTCGATTAGACACTTTTTCAAAATAGCGATTTTTCAAAGTGAATAATGGGTTAAGTTTGAAAAACCCTTCTTTAACTTTTAAAAGCTTAGGCCAGACAGCTTTTTCGTTATCTACAGTTTTGTTTTTAGGAAGCGACTATTTTTAACCTTGATCGTTTATGTGCAGTATCTGTTTGAAATCTTTTCTCCTTTATTTATTAAAAATATTCGAAAAAAATACATTTTAATAAGCAAACACAATTTTCATACTTTTATTCTGTGTGATACGTATTTGATATATTTTAACATTTTTGAATTGATTTCGACTGGCTTTTTGCCATATTATGTCGCCTCTTTCTTTGAAATCAGAATCATTCGAAACGCCATTTTCCGCCAAGTTTATTTCTAATTGTTGTAACTTTCAACTAAACTGTTTAGAAAGCAATAAACGAGATCTCCAAAGTAATTTGTTTCTTTTTTTCGTAAAAACCACCCTAACTGTCCCTAAACGATTGTTTCACTTCGATTCATAATTATGTTATTTTAGTCCATTTATGTTTAGTGGTCTAATTGACTAAATTACTTATTTCAATTAATTATTCTTTTTATGTAAGGTCTTGGTTGAGATGAAAAAGTTAGTGTTACGAGCGGGATTCGAACCCACGACCTTCGGCTCAAAACTCCATTGCACGAACCACTTGAGGGTTCGAATCCCGCTCCAGTTACTATCTTTTCCATCTCAACCAAGGCCTTACATAAAAATAATAATTAATTGAATTATGTTATATGTTGATGCACATACCAGCGAGTAAAAATATTTTCAAGTATCATTTCATTAAGTTTAATGCCAATTATTAACCTAACAATTAAATAATTATTCAGAAATCGTGAGATGCGGTCTGGTGCGATGTAGGTTTCAGAAAAACATTTTCTTTATCGTGCCAACGTTTCAATCTTTATTGAGCCCTGAAGATGATCTCAATAAAGATCGAAACGTTGGCACGATAAAAAAAAATGTTTTTCTGAAAAAAAAACCTACATCACACCAGACCGCATCTCACGATTTCTGAATAATTATCGATTAACGGTCACATTTCTAACAATTAAAACAATTAAGGGGGTAGCGACCGTTTTTCAAATAACTGTTTTTTCCTATTTTTTGTTTAACTTAGCTTATACATGATTTTAGTTTTGATGTGCATTTCTGCAGAGGTTGGTACGTTCTGATTAAGCTTAAACTCTACAATTTTAACACATTTTAATAATTATTTCATGGTGATTTTGTGGATGCCAAAAAGTTGCCATATTTCGGTACCATTTTCTCAGAATTTATTTGGTCTATTACAACCAATATTTTTATTTTGTTTTATTTCTTTAAGTATCCTACGAATTTGGAGCTAAGGTTTGTTTAAAAATAGTGAATTGCTCTCTAGAATTGTTCTGCCTATTATTGCTCTATAAAATAACAAATAAAAATAATTGTTTCAATTCGATTAAGAGTTTTGGAGAAAAATGAATAGAATTTTCCCATAAAAAGTTACACACCGATTCCTCTTTCAGGAGAGAATTGATTAGTCGGAGGGTAGTTATTGACACAATATACAACGTAAAAGGCGAACTTCTTCAAACAGCGTAATATATGGCGAGTTGAAGATACCTCAACGTCAAAGCAAGTATACACTAGAAAACTTGATTCTCAACTTTCAAAAATCGTTTAATGCTCCTCTAAAGCTCGGATCTCCATTTTTAATTAGAACAAGTTTCATCCATAATGTAGTTTAATGTAAAACAATATTTAAAAAGTGCACTTTTTGGTCCTAAAATCGGTACTCCCAATCCCTATTATGCCATGCACTATTTATTGCTCTCAGTTATCGGGTTTGTGGTCAAGATAAACAGCAAGGTTTTGTTTTATTGTCAAGTTTTCGACTGTATATTTACTCAATTTTAAGGTTCTACAATGACCAAACCGATTAACAATACA